TTTTCATAAGTAGAATGTTAGGGTTTTTACATACATATTTTACAGGTCTGAAATGTATCCAAATACACAGTAACTGCATGTGTGGGTTTTAATCCAAAAGAAAGTCCACAGGGGAGGGTGAGAGGCTTATTCTGACTTCTTAGAAGAATCACAAGAATCGGTCCAAAGAGAACAACAACTGAAAAGTTGGTCGTGATTTTTGTTAAAAATGGTAGATTTTAGCTCTGTATGTTCGCTCATGGTGCTCATGGTGCTTATTTATTGTAACTTAATTGTTAGTAATTAAGAAAATTTAAATTGTAAATAGTTGCCTAAGTATTGCATTTATACAATGTTTATACAATGTTTTAAGAGAGTAATTATTCTGTTTTTCTTTTTGCTAAAGGTTGGGCTAAATTAGTTTCAACATTACTATAACATGCAAAGTTTTAGCAATGGAAAAATGAAAAGTTTGATTTGATGCCATTAAGAGTGTTGCAAACTTTCTCAAACTTTTACTTCCTTAGCTCCCAGAGGGAGGCTACCCTGAAAGGAATGTTCCTCAGAATATGGTTTCACTTTTCATAAATTAACTTAACACCATCCATTGTTTTCAAGAGGCTAGCGAAAAGAATACCAGTATTTAAAGTTCGTCGTTTTCATAGGATAATCCCATATTTACAATGGGCAGTCATTACTGAACAGCAAAGTAAAGGTTTCAAGCTAACAAAACACTGTAACTTTGAATTTTTAGCCTATCACTTAGAAATTAGGGGGGGAGTTAACAAATTAGAAGGAAGAAGAGTGATATGGAGCTTTTTTGTCTTTCACCTTGCATGCCATTCTTTTAATTAACTTTTTATCAGAAAAGCATGTCTTTCTACTGAGATAAACGCTTCATTTTGACTGCATTTTTCATACGGTTAGGTGAAAATGTTTTCATAGCATTAACGTGTTAGTTTTAATATAGTTTTGCACTGTGGTTGACTCCAGATACATTTATAGGCATTAGCCAACAAAGCAAAACCTAAGCTGAACCAAAATAAACTCTAGTGAAAGACATCCTTTGATCTCTAGTCAGTTACAGTGACTTCAGCAGTTAGGGCCTATTATTTGCTTCTGAAGTTTCAGTGGGAGGCTGTTGTTAAAACTGCCTGAACAGGGCTGAAATTGTATTTTTTGAACCAGCAGAAGAAAACTCTACTTGTACACCCCTGCCTAATACAAGATAAATGAAATTTTGTGGATAAGCAAAAAAACACAGGAGGAAAAAAAAGCATGGAAATTCAACTTGAAGGTTAAAATGTGAGGATTAATTTTTTTAACTAGACCAAGAATTAATCTGAAACAACCACAAAAAATAAAATCAAAAATTAAATTTGGGAGAAATAGTTTCCAGACGCTGGCAGGTATTTTCTATGGTCATAAAAGAGGCCCCACTTCAATTTTAAAGGAGTTTATTTTTGGCAAATTCTTCGAACTAACGATCACTCTTTCTAATGGTGCTTTTTTCATATCCCTGTAAGTGCTGTGCAATGCAGGAAGAGAAAAAATGTATTTGAAGTACACAATGTTGCCATAGAGCAACATGACATTCAGAGACAATTATGAAATTGAAATTTAATAATGCTGTTTTCACACAACCTTCACAAATGTGACGCCCATATTTAAAGCTTTCTTTCATAGCTACAGGCACTGTTCTTGTATGTTTCAGATACCGTTCACTGAATATGCAGTTCAGTGCCTATTACACTGGAACAGATGCGATTAATATGAAAGTAAAACATCTGAATGTGTGTGCATATTTTTAAATGGAAAACTGTAGGCATATTTTTAATAAGACATCTGATTCAAGTGTAACTTATTTATGAGTGCTTTCGAGTTGATTCAAAATGTCAGTCAGCACTGCAGTGCAATGATATTTGTTAATTGTGCTCACTTCTATGTCTTTTTTGTTCTATAATAGGCGAAACCTACATTGACAAAACTGTACATGACCCAGAACTAGTGAGTAGGTATAAAAAAAGAGCATAAGACGATAGTTTTTCCAGAAGCAAGAAAATGGAAGGAAAAAAGATACGATCCTTTCAGGAATGAACAACATAAAAACTGCTGCAAAAAATATAGATTTTAAAAATAGGTCTTCTTTTACATCATGTGATGATATTTCCTAAGCAACTGTATTTAATTAACTTTATGACAGGCTTTAATAATGAATCACAGACTAAGCACAACTGCCTGAATTTGTTCAAAATTCCATCCTACCTTTCCGAGAAATGTTGTTGTCCCTCAGCATTGCCTCTTGATTGTAGGTAGAAAACAGACTTTCAAAGTCTTCCAAAGTTAAAGAAAATTTAGATAATATGATCAACACATCCTTTATCTACTACTGCTTTTCAGATCTTTTAGTGATTTGGGCCTGGATGGGAAGCCTAACAAATACTACCACAGAGAAAATTGTACAGCTAAAGTATGAAAAGGCTATATTCATATTTATTGCTACCAAAGGATAGCCACTTTTGTGAATTAGAAAGGCAGACACGCTGCTTCAAATTAGAATGTGGCTTTGCCCCCCTCTATCATGACAATTAAGATTTCAAAACAAGAAGCAAAGCAGCAAAAAAAGAAATTTTATACAGAGTAGGACATCTGCAAACTGTAATGCCTTAAATACTATGTAAAAGTGTGTGTACGCATAAAATATATCTCAAGCATGGGAATCTGCTTCCAAAACTAAGTTTGCCAAGCCAGAATGATCTGTGGCACTGAGATAGACTTTACCTTTCACTATGTATTATTTTTTTCCTACAATACATACTGTATACTCCCCAGTCCACTTTTTTCTTTTCCAGCAGTGCTAGTAAATTCTTCATTGATAATCTTCTGCAGTCTACAGTGCACTCCTGCCTTTGCAAGGGAATAAGATGACAGTTTGTTTTTAATAAATGATACAGTCCTTTGTCCTTTACGCCTTACCATTGTCATCTCAAACATCAATCCATCATTTTGCCACCTCCTCCTCTACCAAAAAATAGTTTGCAGAACAAATAGTAACAAAAAAAACTTTGATATTAAAACATGAATTGCTCTAAGTATTTCCTCTGTAATCATAATTAAAATAAATCAGAAAGAAAAGAAAACATTATAATTGTGCTTTCAATGGCAGGACAATAAATATAATTAGCTGGCCTTTGCAATCATAAAAGAGTGCTTTGTTTCAAACAAAATAAAAGACCTGTGCTAAAAATAGTGCTTTATTACAGCATTAAATGTTAAAAAATGTTCAAGTTCCTCAGGATACAAAGGGCAGCCAACTGCCCTGAATAGCCAAAAGAATTTATGATAATTTAAGTGGGAATTTATATCAATCAAGTTTCTCCACCTCCATGCCAGCAAAATAACTGAATTGTTTTGCTGGAGTGTTAAAATGTTTACCATATACCTTTGTGAAGGCAAACACATCATACACACATCTCTTCCACAAACAACATTGAGACTAACAACTAAAGACAACATAGGACTTTTTACTTGCTGCCTTGTTGTAATTATGACCTTAATAAATACCTAAAAAAACTAAGAGACAATGCTGTATCTGGCAACACTTTGTCTTTAAAATAAATGCATGAATATTGTCAGGATGATTGTGAGTTAAAACATGGTCACAGGCCTTAAAGTCATGGCTACCTTTTCAACAGTTATCAGTCTGATCCTGTGTCATTAAATTTTGATGTATGACTTGTCGGGGTACAAATTAAACGGGCAGCAACCTTTTTTTTGGTACTAGATTAACAGGAAGCTCTGTGACTGTTTCCCAAATGTTTTTCAGACAAGAAAGCATTATGCTGAATGCTATAATTACTCCATGTACAGACATCTGGAATTAAGTTCTTAAAGGAAACTAATATACATAAAAAATGTAGACAGTTGCAATGCACAAAAGAAAAGTTTCAGGTGTGCCAATTGTAAAAAGTGCTAGACACATTTAAAACACAAATATACAAAGGGCCAAATATGCAGTATTTTTAAAAAGTATTTAAAGGGCTACAGCACTTGGGGGGGAGGGGGGAGAATCTCTCAAACTATCTTGCAAACATTTATAAAATCCAGCATTTGTTTTCCAAAAATGATGATTATCTTCCCTATAATTTACTCACAAAATACTGTGCTGTACATCTCAATCTTGCTTTTGCCATTCTTTAGGAGGTTATACAGTTTCTCTCCGGCATTTTTTAATGTTGAAAATATAACATCTCTTGTGATGTCATGGATTGTGAACCTAGTTACTGCATTTGTTTCTCCTTGAGAATGTTTCCAGTTAAGACTGTAGGAGTTCTGATCATTCGTGTGAAAACGGTAAGAACATCAGCACTGATGTTGTTATTGATTCATCCTTCACCCAACTCATTTTAATTATTGGATGAATCTAGTATAATTGTTATAATCCATTTTTAAAATCACTGGTTTTACTCATTTTAGTTATTCCTTTTTTGTGTTCTTCCACCAGCGTTTACAAATAAGCTTGAACTAGTTCACTTTTCTTGTGAAGGCAAATTCACTAGGCAAGTGCATCCTTTATAAAAACAAAATTTAGACATAAAATAGCATTAGACGGCAGTACAAATACTTATAACTTTATTAATAGTTTACTTGTACAAGATGTACATTCATATTGTGTGATTCAACAACAAAAAAACACCTTTTAACTGAACTGTATGTTGAGTCCATGTTTAAGCATGCTTGCGTAAATCACAAAACTAAAAAGAGAAATAATAGTAATAATAATGTTGGATACAACAGGAACTGTGGCGCCTAAAGTAAATATTGACAATATTGTTTGAAAGGATTTCTTACTTTTTCTTTCCATCCCTGAAATGTTTGTAAACTCAGACACACTACATATTATGCAAACATTGTACTACAATCACACGTTCCGTTCAAAAAGGTTGCAAAAGTAACATTTTAAAAAAATATAAAAATAAATGCAAAGCCATGTAAAAATTTACACTCATAATTAAAATATTCCTCATTTATAAACTTTCAAACAAAACAATAAATAAAAGCACCCATAAATTCAATCATATAAAATGGAAACATTGCTAAATGACTGCTAAGATGGCTTGTGAAGAGAGAAAAAAATTGGTTTCACAACTAATAATATATTGTTAGAGGTAGACCTGTACTAGGATCAGTATTGTTCAAAGGCAATGGTGAAGTATTGACAAAGCAGTCCATTTCATTTTGGAGTGGAACATAGTTATCAGCATTTAACACCCAGCTTAAAATAAAACTGTTCATACTATTGGTTGAGATTTGTATGTATCAAAGTAAAGGGACCCTTTAATATAAATAGTCAATTAAGAAAATGTAAAGTAAAAATAAATTGACACCCTCCGATATTACATTTCTCATTGGGTTTTAGCTTGATGTTGAATAAAACAAGCATGTTTGTCTTTCCTTTCAATATTAATTTTAACTTGTGAGGAATTTGTTATATAATTACTGAACTTGCTAAGTAATTACAGTAATTACAAAAAGCTAATTTTCTTATGAAAAGGTACGATGGAAATTCATACCAGGTATTAAATAAAAGTAACTCACAAAGCCCCTGATAAGCTGTTCACTTTAATAGAATACATCTTTAAACTTTGGTGGACTTCAAAATGGCTTAATTGGTGTCAATACTTTAAACAGTTGTTTATTAGTGTTTTCAGATCCTAGTCCTTCTGCAATTGAACTGTACAACAACAAATAAAAGTGCTTTGTCTACCTCAACAAGTTATCATTGATTATTTGTTTCTGTTTATGTGTACAAAACTATGTTTAAATACCACCAAACTCCAGGAGTTATGGCACATGATTGCTTATGAATTAATACAATTTACATCTCTTTGAAAAAAAGTTGTTGGCTTGGCAAAGAACTCATCACATTGATCTCAGTGCCAAAAAAAATGCAAGTTGCTGTTTTTTTTATCTCATTAACAATTTACTGCTATTCTGACTAAACGTTTTTAGAAATATTTACAGTATTGCACTTTACTGCACATAATTGCATTTCAGTTATAATGTTGCTTCATTTATATTTAAAATTAAATAATTGCAGTTACCCTTTGTCCTTTTTCAAACATGTCTCTCTACTGCCTTTTAGAACATAACATACAGAACACAAGAAGGTCGTTCGACCCACCTAGCCCGTTTGGTAGTTAGTAATGAATTGATCCAAGAATCTCATACAGCTTTTTCTTGAAGGAGTCAAGAAAATTGATCAGCTTCATCAACATAGGTGGGACGTTTCTTCCACACTCCCACAACCTTTGGGTAACTAAGTGCCATCTGTTTTTGGCTTTAAATGCACTTCCATAAATGAAGAGTCAAATGCCTAGCTCTTGGCATAAATGGCATCAGTGAGACTCAAACCCATACCTCCAGAGAGAGCACGGCTTTAATCCAAAATGCTACCCTTTTCGGTGACACTGAATAGGGTTTGCAGATCTCAGCATGTGAGCCCAATCTGCACTGTATTTTCCCTCTCATTTAAAAGATTCATTTGCTTGTAGCATGGACTGTAAACAACGAGAAACACAACCTGAAGTGCAACAGCTATTCTTACTTAATTTCCCGGGTCGAAAACATGACTGGTTTTAGCGCGAACATGATCGTAAAAGTATTCTGAATGTACATTGACCCTGGTGACACATATCCAGCAGAAATACAGCAAACAAAAATCCTCCCCCCCAAAAAAAGAAAGAATCAAGCACATCGCCAATACTGCTGTGTTATTGCTACTTCCACCGCATCCACAGCTCAAAAAAATAAATAAAAATGAGAAACCTTTGCAGAAGATTTCAATTAGTGGAAGATTTTCATGGCAGTGATTAACAGAGTTGGACACATCTCAGGTAAAATGGAGGCCAGCCCCAAATACTGTACGTCTTTACTTCAGTCGGACACATGCACTGGTCAGAGGCAGGAACACAGTGGCTGGCGGACTATGGCCATTTTTGCAAACGTGAGCATACAAGGCCTCAGTGTCTTTCTGTCCACACAGGTTGTCTTTAAGTATGATTCGGGTTCTTGCTTTCGTTGGTCTGTCTCATTAGGTCTTTTGTTGGTTTATGTTTTGTGTTTTTGAGTCTTCACAATCTTATATGCAGGTCATGACTCCCGACCTCCAGACATTTCTGCATGTTCCTCGGGCTCTGTTCTTTCAAGCCAAAGGTGACCATAACGGGCTATATCATTTACCTTCAGTCGAGTCTTGCCTGTTGGTTTAAATAAGAAAGGTGATTTCATTGGCGTTTACATATCATCTCTACAAGTGGTTGTTTTGGCAGCTGGTTCTGTGACAATTTTCTTTGTAGTTTTTTTTTTCTCTTTTAACTGTGTGTGTGTCATGGCCTTTCCAACAGACGCAGTCTTGTGTGAGAAGCAATTATGAAAGTTCGCAGCACCGCAGAAGCCCGTGGAGGTCAGAGTCCCAGCGCCTCGGCGTGCTTTCGTGCCTTGAGTCTGAGGTCAGCGATACTGGAGTTCTTGCTGTTGCTCTTGGCGGCCGCGGCGACAGCCGCTGCAGCGGAGGCGGAGTCTGCGAGCGACGCGATTGGTAGTCCAAAAGGAGGGGGCGGGAACATGAGATAGGGGGCGTGTGCAGCCAGGTGAGGGTGGAGGTGAGGGTGGGTGTGTGTCACTCCTTCGAGCTGCAGCTGGGCTTGGACCTGCAAAAACAGATACAGATACCATTTATTTCCCGAGCCCCGCACCACGACGTGAAAAGGTTATAAATAAATGCTGAAGACAGAGAGTGGCATAAGCATTTTCACTACCCTCTGTGTTCTAAATGCATGTTTTCTCTCAAAATATAATTAAGAGACCTATGTTTATTTTTAAATAAATACTTGGCACATTTATTTTTGATGTTAAATTATCCTTTTAAAAAAAGCTTTCATGAAACACAGGAGTTAAAGAAATAGAGCCAGCTTAATGATTTGTTTATATAAATTCCCGCTTAATTATTAGCTGTAGTAAAAAAAAAATGTATATTTATTCCTTCTCCTGGAACATGTCCATAGAAGCATTTCTATTTGAGAAATTGAGGAGTGGGTAATATATAAGGGGGGAAAGAGAAGTATTTCTTGTTATAAAAATATTTTACAAGATACAAACAAATACAACACTAGTTTTTTTTGTGACCACATTTTTCAGAAGTAGATTTTGTATTTGTCTTTACTTGAATAGAATGTACTGAAATGTGACCATATATCAGCTACACTTGAATGTGTACACAGTTCAACATTAATTAAAGAGTTATTAATTTAAGAAAATGACTCCGCATCGCATTAAATAGAAAGAAGTAACAGACACGGTGGTTGTTACCTGGGAAAATGTTCAGCAAGCTGAACAGCAGAGACTATTAAAAAGCAAAATGTGCCTTTTTTTAAAAAATGAACATTTTAGTAGCATAAATTTGAACTGCCAAATGAGCAACCTCTTGCATAGTGGAAAATTATGCCTCTTATTCCCACAACAATTACACCTTTGCGGCAGAAACTTTCATCCCTCTGCAACAGAATTTACATTAGACCCTGGACAACACAGAAGGACAAGCTACCTGATTTCTGCTGCCTTTCTGTGCCTGCTGCATTGTGTGATTGCTCATACGTTTTAACACCAACATTTTAACACTGTTTCAGGGCTGCGAATTTTAAAGTTGTGGGGCCCTTTGCAATTCAGGATTACATTATTGTCACTGGGATAACACTGTAGCTTTGTTTATCTACAAGGTAATTGCATACCAGCCTCTGTAGTAAGTGACTAAATATTTGGGTATAAAGAGCAGAATTTGTGTATTTTCTTTTTTTTTTAGGTTTGCGTTACATATAGGGAAGTACATTCAATGAGCAATTAACTCATGCTGCTTAAGAGCTAGGGCAACAGGTGGATGACTTTTGAGAGATATTTAATTTCCAGTTTGCACTAGTACAGGTCATTCAGTGTCCACCCTCATTCTACCAGTGCAGCTCGTTGCCAGTAACCGCTGTTTCTATCTTCTTCCGTTTTACATTTCCTTTCATCTCCCTGCACTCACTTTCCTGGGAGCTTAATTAAGTGGCGCTTTTGTAGGAGATGAAGACATTTTCCATTTGGGCTCTTCAAGCAGACACCAAACCAAATGTCACCCAGTCTTCTTAATCACATTATTTAAAAAAAAAGAAATAGAGCCATATTAATAAGAAAGGGGCTTTGGCTGAACTTTGATTTATACCGTGATACTTCCCAAAATAGAAATGTTTTTAAACCATGAATGGCATATTTGGCAATCTACTTATTTGTACCATCTGTTTAATACTCTTGACTTAAAATACCTATAGTATTTGCATCCCCAATACTAATCTAAAGTTGGCCAACATATCTAATCTGTAGCTGACTGGTGCCCAGATGCCCTACAGGAGAGCCTACACAGTGACTCTAATATACAGCCATTCAACATCAGAAAGCCACTTATTCCTGGCTGGGGTCACGGGTTCCTGGAATCTATCCTGGAAACACACGGTTCAGGGTGGGACTGCATCCTGGACGACATGCTTGTTTCTCCCAGGGCACACAGTGAAAATTTAGAGACCCAATAACCGAGCCAGCATCTCGCTGAGAGGTGGGAGGAACCCGGATTACCTGCGAAAAGTCTGTGCAGACAGAGGAGAAGCATACAGACTCCACACGGAAGGTGCACCAGACCAGAGTGAAATCCAAAGAAAGCCTACGAGCTGTGTAAGGCAACAGTGATAACTACCATGCTACTATTGAACCTTCCTATATACACACTGTACTCTACATCAAATGGAATACTGCCTGTACTGTATATCCCTTCTCTGATTACATAATTTGAAAGTGCTTTGCATTTCAGCAGTGCGTTTTATAAGTCCTGTCTTGAAAAGACCCATTGCTGTTCTGAAATTATAAGTGAATGGTTCGATGTGCTTAAATATAGCTGTAATTGTACTAAATTTGGGGGGGGGGATAGGTCTAACAGCAAAGTCAAGAGCTCCATTTTTGTAATCATACAAGTCTCCTTTTAATGACTATGCATCTGGCAATGTGATATCGAGCATACCACAGAGAGTGAGCATAACCCTGAGTTTAAACAAAGCAAATGTCCATACTCATAACCTTAAAGAAGACTGATTCGTCAAATAATACCCTCACGTATGTTAATATAATAACAGGACTGCATTTCAGTTTTCAGCTAAATTCCAGCCACGAAGTTTAATGCGAGTCAATGTCATGGGCTCATTACATTAATTGTCTAACAAATCGTCTCATAAAAGTTGATCTAAATTAGGATATAGTTACAGTAATGCACCCTATTTATTTCCATTAAAGAACGTAAAGCTGATTTTCATCTGTAAAAAATAAAGGTTAATATCATTTTTGGACCTCGACATACAGAATTTTACATGACAAAATAAATGCACCTGCTTTTTTTTTTTTTCGGAACTGCTGAATATGGACAGAAATAAATACCTGTTGGAAAGGCATTCTTAAAGCACCCATATTCACGTAAGGGGCGACACGGCAGGCATCCAAATGGCTAGCTGTACCCAAAATGACACCTAAAGAAAAATGAGGTGTCCGTTAAGCAAAATTGAATGTACAATTTAACATGCTCTGTTTATGAAATTGTTAAAAAGTGGTTCCTGAGCATGCAGGGTTTGGTCGTATTATGCCTGTTGAGAACTCTGATACAAAAACGCAAGCCAGTAGTGGAGGTCAAACGCTGAGTGCGCTCTCAGTCATTCTTAACATCATCCATACTCGACATGCACGGAATACGAAAATAAATTGTCTATTTTTTTCTCAGAATCAGGTATATCAAAGCCTCCGGGTTTGTACAATCATATTATCATTTACTCGTAATCGTGTGTTAGGACGTAAATCTTTAATCACACAAATCAATACAGATTCAAAGTCACATTAATGTACCTTTGTGCATTTGGTTTTCTTGTTTTCGACATTTAGCTCTTCTGTTTTGAAACCAAACCTAAAAAATAAAAGGCCATTGGAAACTGAAGTGAAACTGGGTCGATGAGCATGAATTTGAATCAATTTGTCATTTAAAAGAAGATAAATGAAGCACATTTTCAGTTACATCGTCATTAATTTGAAATACAAATGTAAGTAATTCAATCAAGCAGCAGTCGAAGTCACTCATATTAAATTCATAAAGTACTTTAGATGATAAAACTATAAATTACACTGTGCTATCTAACTTCAATTTCCTAACCGCAAAAGGGACTACTGAAATGTCGTTGTTGTTATTATTTCCTTAAGTTTAAGATTTTATTGTGTGTATGGAGGGGGTGTGTGGTACTGTAGTTTATCATACGTGCCACTTAAAAAGTCCTTAGCGAAGCGCAAAATTTAACATTGAAGGTGTATTATAGTGCTTTTTAAATGTGGAAATTAATGGAAACTATACTGATATATTTATTACCTTAAGTACATTCGACAAATTTAATTATTTTTTCTGATTAAATCTATAGGAAGCCACAGAATCTCAACCTTTGATGTTATTCTTACGAAAAGATCATATAGTTAATGAATATTAACTTCCCTTCCCATATCACACTACACTACCGTGTTTCCCCCGACTGCTTTAATGATGGTCATTTGCAAGAGAGTAATTAGTGACTAGAAAGACTTCAAAGGGCATTGTTTAATCACCCAAGGTGCCTGAACCATTTTTACACTGTATAAATTGTCGAAACCACAAATCAGTAGTGAAGCAATTATGCGCATGTCAATAAAATATACAGAATTGCATATTTTAAATACATTGCGTTAGACCAATTATTATACAGGTTAGCGGACGGTGAAGTACAATCTAAAAAACTATTACCTATTTTTGTGTACATTAAGAACAAAAATTACTTCAGAATTTTCACTTTTAAAAAACTGAAAACACCATCGCGGAGAAAGCTGCTCCAAGGAGTAATGATAAATATTGTGATTATACTGATCCAGGTTGGCCATTCTCTGGATACTAGAAATGGCATCACAGACAATTTGTTCACATTTATTTTAAATGAAGTAAGATTAAACAACAGTTAGTCTGTAAAAATACATTAGGTTATTATTATTATCATTGTTGTTATTATTATTATTGCTGTTGTTGTTGTTGTTGTTGTTGTTGTTATACTATATCGGGACTTTTATAATGCTAATAAATCAACCGTTTTTCAGCTCAGGATCAATTCCAATTAGCCATGAATATGCTAAGCAAAGTGAACTACACTGGTTTAGACAGTTATTTCTTCATTAAGGATCACTCAATGATGCGCTTCACAAATACTCTAATCTGATTTCCTTTTGATTTTTATTAGAGACAGTGAATAATGACATTTAATTTAGCTCTGCACCAGAAACCAAAAGATATTAGTCGTAATTGAATTACTGCCTGCTCCTCACTTCGGTCTCATAACTTTCAATTAGACCTGTGACAGCTGGTTGGTGGGGGCTCTCTGTACAGCACTAAAAATATGGGTTAATATGAGCTATCTACCACAGGACTTACAATTTACTTACGATAGATTTTCAGTGTAAATTGAAAATATGTCCCTTTGCGGCTGACATGAAATACACCGCAATTTTAGACTATCTGAAAACTGCGAAAGAACCCTTTTCAGTCGGCAACAGATGTCGTTATTCGAGTTTAGTTACACGTTTCATTTTTATTCGTATCGTTCGTATACTGACCGTTGTTCTCTTTTGTTCCCCGACATTTGAATGTGTGTTCCCATGAATTCATGTCCCTTTCATTTTTAAAATAATCACATTTCTAAATGTCGTGCTGAAAAAGTGTTGCGAAAAGGATTGCGACAGTGCGTCTACTTCCGATTAATATACAGAACAAGCAATATCCCACTGAAAGATATTATGAAACTATTCATAATATACATGTATATTATGGGAGCAGTATATAAAGCCAATGGCTAATACTGCTGACATAACGCTGGAGACAGAGGTGGCTGGAGTCTGTCTCAAAGCAACAGCTCAGTCTTGATCAGTTGTGCAGTTAGATCTATCTGTAGTATATAACTTTTAGCGCGTTTAGCGGGCAAATTTCAGGTTTCCTTTTATACTCACAGGTGAAATTCCCACGGTCTATATTGAGCTTTAATGGTGATGATGGTGTTTGTTGTTTATATTGTTGCAAATAAACCGTGAAACAGTAAGGTAGCAGTAAAGTAACATATCATTGTCACAGGGGGCAGCCAGTATTGTCGTCATTGCTACATTTTTGTGTTTTGGTACTTCTGCCGACTCACTTTCCATTAGAAATCTCAGAAAAGATAAAGAGGTTATGTCCAGTTTGCATTCAATCGGTGTAATATTTTCCATTGATGTGTGTATATTAATGAAGGTGTTAATTCTGTCCAAATTAAACACAACAGCAAAAACAATACAATAAATAATTGATCATTTTTCGTATCATTTCTTTTACTGATGCTGTTGCTGTTTAGACTCTTATAGAGAAAAATGTTTTGATTCTATTTATTAGGGGAAAAAAGTTTTAAATCAAAGGTTGTTACTCCAGTTGTTTTGACACAGAAGGACGCCCTGTATTAAAAGTCACGGTTTGTATTTTTCAAGTAGTATATTTTAATTATTCATAAGGTGCGAGTTACAAGCTATATGCCCTTACAATCGGAAAACGTGAACCGCAGCTTTGACCTGGTTTCAGTCACACGGATCAAAATGGATTTACTTTATCCATTAAACAAGCTGAATTTGTGCAATTGATTTATTCTCATGAGCATACAGCGTTAAAAACGGAACACATACAGTATAAGAACTGTGGACATCTCTTACATGATTTCCTTTGAAAACTTTATAGAAGAATAAATTTTAATGAAAATCTAAAGAATAACTGTCTTGCCATTATCCCTTTATATCGGTAATAATTTATTTAGTCAACTATAATAATTTATGATGTAATGCTTCTCTATGATTTTTGGTATGATGTTTGATCAACCAATTTTTATATTTTATATGCACATGTAATGTTATGTTCTTGCATAAAATGTTATAAATTACAGCAAATGCTTATAAATTGCAGTGTTTTAAAAATGTATTATGCTTGAAAAAATAAATAATGAATAAAGCTAACAATATACAAATCTAAGTTGATAAATTTAAAAATTATATTTATAAAATGTCGGTATCAAACCTTACACTTATAAGAGTAACGACCTATTTTGGAGTAACTGATTTCGAGGATTTAATAACATTGTAACATTAAATCGATGTTAAAAATCAATATACGTCAATAATTTACACGTTATTTAAATCCAGACAAGAAGACTCCATTGAACTTGAACAAAATGTTCTCTTTGAGAAGAAAATGAATTAAATAAGCATAAAGCTTGTACAATTAAAATCGTAGTATTTCATTTTATCAAACTCAACCCTAATCTCGAAATGTTTCGGATCATTCGAATTTAAACTTTTCCGTTGCAAAGCAGCACTTTTGCATCTACCTTTGTGTGTTACGAAAGTTGTAAAACTTGTTAATTTGTTGATATCTTCTGTTATCAGTACACGATAAAAAACATTATAAAATTAGTCAAATAAACACAAATCCTTTCATCGTTGTCATATTTAAAGCATTTAAAACGGCCCCGATTGCAGTTTCAATAGCACAAATGCCTTTCTGTGCTTTAATATCTGCAGCTGAATTTGTAGTGTCCAGCACAAATGCTCTAGTCCTAAAAGACATTAGCAAACGCAAAAACTGTTCTTTGTTCCGAAGACATTGTTTTTTCATCAAAACATTGTTACACAAACGCGTAATCAGTTATCAACAGTAATCACACCTTTTGTAGGAATGTATTGGACGTTGGTCTACATTTTCCCCTAGATTTTATCTAAAACACTAGTTCTATGCCTTTAAAGTACAATATTGTGAATCTGTTGGCTATTATTAAACACGGAGGTGCTATTTTTGGAAATAAAGCTTACCTGAACCCTAGCCTCTGACAGTCCCAATCTCTGACTTAGTTCCTCTCTCATGAAGGCATCTGGATAGTGCGTCTCATCAAAGAGTCTTTCCAGTTCATTCAGTTGCTCTAAAGTAAAATTTGTCCTACTCCGTCTCTGCTTTAGTTTGCTCTGTCCATCCTCATCTTCAGATTTCACTTCTTCTTTCTTCTCCTTGCATTCATATATTCCTGTGTAAGTAAAGCACATTCGTGAATCAAGCTCTCGTTGTCCACTTGTAGCCCAGGCCTGTCCTGAAACACTGTTCCTGTAAATGTACAGTACCTTCGATATTGTAGCGAAACTAGAAATTACCCGAGGCTGAACTGAATTAGAATACATCATCAAACATTTGCGTGCATATTTATGCACAATATCGTGAATTAAAAATTGCGGCTACTGACGTTTGCTTTGGGAATTCTGGTACAACATTTAAAAAAAATGAATATATAGTCATCGTTTTTAACTAGCGGATACTTATTTATCTTTCAGCAAAAAAGCTACCAAAACATTCATTTATTGAAGCGTGATAACGTTAGTTTTTTTTTTATGAAATGAGAGCGAAGACGTCTTTTAACGTTTCGGGGAAGTCTAAAACTAAAATGAATTATTCTTGACAGTTTCGCAGCGAAAAATGATTCAGTTTTAACATCATGAAAGCTGTGTGTCAGTCACGACAGACGGGCCCAAACTTCTGCAGACTGTATGCACATCAAAATGCACATCATTACTTTTTTGACATTTTAACAACAACTTATTATTTTTTTATTATTGTTTATTGTTGTTATAGCAATACCTCTTGTTTTGCTTTACACACAACACAAAAAAACATGAACATTTTCATGCTACAGAAAAATACAAAAAATAGACGACAAATTATTTGAAAGAATAAGAGGTGTAAGACATATTTTGACTTGACTGTAATTTATCTGGTGATAAATTGCCTCCACGATCAAGCCTACACGACCTATTCGAATACATCATTTAATACAGGTAGTTGCTTCTTCTATACAATATCAGCAAGCAACATGAATGACATCTGTTCATATTTATTATTTTGTTTTTCACGCTAAGAATTTTAAATACTAAAGATATTTAAATAGCATATAGTACATTCTATTGCCCAGAATGCACTTTGTAAACCAGACTTTTTATACGGTTCTCTTTAATGCAGATTATGAATAGATCGCTTATTTTCGCAAGTTAATTAAATTAATATAATATTTTGTTTTTTCAAATAAGCTGTTTCTTCTTTTGTTAACAGTTTATTAATTTGCATTAATGATAAATGAGCAAAAGAGAAATTTGGGATACTTTCAATTAAAATTTGATTAATTTACTTTCCACGATATTTCTACTACGTAAACATTTATGTTCTCTCTTTCGATAATAATTACAACTAAACTGAAAACAATGCCACGTTGTTAGACTAAACTATAAATATCCTCACTTTTTTAAATCAAGTTATTTTCATATACGTAATCTGTGGAGAGACGTTTGGGGAAAATGCCTGATAACTGATTCGAATTGGTTCTGTTTTGCAGAATGTCTGTACCTATGCAATATTTGTATAATATCAAAATGTTGTTTTCTACACACCTTTTGGTATAGAAAATAAGACACTCTATCATAGTAATATATGCCCTCTCAAAAGCAATAAAACCTCAGATTTGAAATAGAAGTTTCTATATCTACTCAGATAATACAAACTACTATGCTTCAGATTCTCATTACTATTATATTATTAATTTTCCCGTATTTCATTTAACAGATGACTACTTTGTGTTTTGAGAATCGCCGTTGAAAATGAACAGCACACCGCATAATTAAGAAAATACTTCAAACTCCATAAAGGCCGTGGAACAGGACACCAAAAAGTGTCAACTGTTCCTAAAATAAGAGGAAATAAATTATATCAGCGCATAGAGCTGTTCATTACCTATTGGTCTGCTGAAAGATGTATCGACAATAATGTCTTCACTTTCTGGAAGGACATCGGTCCCATGCACAGAATTGTTTATCGTCGGCTTCTCCCGAAACGCTAGGTTTCCAAGCGCTACCCACCAGAAACATGCAAACAAGCCACCGCCGAAACTGAACAGTGAATTAAAACAAAATTACCTTCCGAAGCCCTCGTTACATTGAACTCCTTCAGTTTTTCCTTTTCCAGCTCTACGTGGTCTTTGTAAAGGTGAACCGGGCAATGGTTGCTGGTTTCAGTAATGTCCTGAAGATTTGTCTCCGAGTTCCCCAGTTCCCTGGCTCGTGCTAAGCCACTCTCCAAAACTTCCCTGTACGTGATACTCTCCTTCTTATTGCTTTCCTTGGCTTTCTGGTCGAAAGATTTGGAAACGAAGGCGGTAAGTTCTTCCATGGCTGTCTAGTGGTCCTGATCACAGAAATCCACTTTAAATTTACTAACGGTATATCGGTCCTTTGCCGGGCTCTACGAACGCAGTTATATTTGGGAGTAGAAGGTTAGATCACTCCTGCTGTTATGTCTGTGTTTTTGAGATCACACTATATATACATGGCTACCTCAGCCCAACCCCCATCTCTATGTCTTGAGCAATTACAGACAGCTCTACTGTCTGAATTCAACTTTCTGCAGCTTTTCCTGAAATCAGCAGCAATGGTGTCTGTTAATTTAATTGCATTATATTGCGATGGCTTTAAGACACAGTAAAGCACACGGAGGATTAGCACATTTTAATTAGTCTGGCTTTAATTTTATATGTATTGGAATGAGACGTGCATCATTGAATGTTGCTCTAGTAAAGTGACGTTAAATGTGTCATTGATATACATTGGCTATGTGCATGCAGCAATGTTTTGACATAACGCAAGTTATGCGAGAAAATTATTTGTATGTTAAGCAATTCAATGACAAATTATGTCGACTCAGCGTTCCAAATAGGATGCACCTACATTAAATTACAGCAATGCAGGAAATATTCAACGGATTGACTAGCCTATTTCAAAATAATTATTTGTTTTATTTGTTTATAAACGGAATAAAATAAAAAGGTCGTCCACTGCACGAACATTTAATTTCAATTAGCCAATACCATCCTCATGATACTGGAATTACAAATTTAAAAGCAAAGGCGACAGACGATTAAGATATTTAGTTTTAAAGTTACTTGCAAATATAATAATTTTCTACATTTTATTCGGAAACTTTTAAGGAAGGCATATTTAACTACAGTAAAAGTTAACTGAAATATGTAAATTTTATTGGGTGGTGGTGGATAAAATTATACACTCAGTAAAAATAATCTCAAAACCGAAAATTGAGATTGAAGGTACTGTGGGAATCCTGTTTTATTCAGATGGGTCTTGTGGTGGTCATTTGTCATCACTTCACAGTTTAACTTTACTTTTCATACACAATAAATTGCTTGTTTTATTTTACAAGTAACGATTCTCGCAACAAAATAGCTTTCAATTACATATTTGAATTTCAATGAAGAACACATTAAACATTCCTCACAGTAAAAGGGTGTCAAAAACAGACATCGTTAATTTTCTGTACATTACAATGAGTACTGACGAAAACTGTATTGCTTGTTTCTGTTTAGGTAAGAACAAAGCGAAGCATGACGGATAAAGTCTTCAACAACCCAAAGACGCGGTAATATTAACCTGTTAAGGTGCTATTTTATAATTATTAGTGGGAGAAAGAAGAAGAATTAAGTATTATGCGTTTTATAAGAAATACGTGTAAAGAACTTTACACTGCGAACAAAATAAATTTCGGAATGTATTTCGAAAAATGTGTTTTTGTTCTTTATTCGCAGTTATATACCATTAAATGTTTTAATTATGCAAAAACGCACAATACTGACTCTGTGAATACAATATATACACATTGCCGGAAAATTAGTGTCAAGGTTTTGTGGTCTTCATGTTGAATGACGATGGCGTACTTTTTCATACACAAAATAAGATTAACACAAGTCTTACATGCATTAGTATGTAAAATTATTCTGGGATCGTGTCACATGTAGTCTGGATGTTCTATATAGCAAACAATGAAGCCAAATATGTTTATACTTTGTTTTTAACATGGCAGCGACCAGATGTTTCGTGATCAAGCACTTGAAATATATTACAAATGTAAACTTTTTTTTGTAATTAAAGGAGGCATTTAAGTCAACAGAGCAACATTGGGGACAAACTAATTGCGTAAAACTATAAACTAAATACAATTTAAAGACAAAAACTAAAGAAAAAGAAGTCTCTCGAAATTCCAGTATGTTTTTTGAGACTGCCAACTGATGTTCTATAACACATGAAACGTATAACGTATTGATCAGAACCCCTTTGTAACTTATAATTACGTAAATAAAATCTGGCATTTCTTATTAAATATCACCACAAAGAAGTTTGTTTATAGATGTGAGTGTCTCTATATGCCGTGTGTGTCTGGATTAACCACAGCAAGAAAATGAACAACAGCAATACACGATTATGTCAAGCACTGCAACTTTTCCAATAGACTATAATGTATGCAACTTAATTGAAAGGAATGTTTGCAAATTTGAGTCACTTTCTGGAATCATTCAAGAGTTCACTTTCGATGTATTTACACCTTTCTCTTAATTGGTAGATTTTCCACGTAATCTTTATTATTTCTCTCATATGTTTTTATGAATGAGTCTTTTTTTGTATTTTCACTATGTCGTTCCCAAACTGTGGCTTTTTTAACAGATAAGGGTCGATTATGAATCGGTTGTCAGTAAATTTGAAGCTCCAACAATAACAGTGGTTTCTGGTTGCGTTCCTCACGATTTATATGATTTTCTCAGTTTGTGCTTCTTGACATAAGGCACTCACCAGTCCTCAATTCCACGTGAAACAGGATAATCTGTCTTCAAATGCTGTTTCAAGATTTTTATATAGGTAGCATAGAATTTTACTTAATTCAATTTTATTATTAGCATTAGTCTCATTTTCAGCTCTCCTAAAAGATGATCGTAGCTTCTGTAACCCAGGTGATAGGAGCGATCTCTGTTATACAGGTATTAAACGAGGGGTTAAAGGCCTCGCGAGGGTTATATTTGAGAGGAAAATTTGCTACTACATAAAGTATAGGATTTTTAATCAGCTAATAAAAGATAGCTAACATTTTTAACTACTGGTATTAGTGATGCGCTTCATTTACTTGATTATTTTAACCAATTTTCTTCGGGTGGACACCTAGGTTTGAATATTTGAAAGTAAAACAGAAGAACAGAGGATGCTAAGAACAATTTCGTACAGGATTGAGGAAATGTAGGCCTGATGTTCGGCGCTCTGTTCTAAGGCAGTTGTTTCTAGATTCAAATGCACTTGAATAATTGCGATACTTCAAAGTCCTCCTAATAAATCTTAGAAAATTACTGAATGCTGGCCGATTGACGTAGATTATCCACATGTGGTTTCCAATCTAACAACAGCCTCTAGGGTAAAGAAATACTGGAGCACAAACCGACCATCAGAGTACTTACAGGGCCAGAGCTCCGCTCTCTTCAGCAGAGCACTGAAACCTCCTTAAAGGGACAGAGGGGAAATTTGCAATTCTACAAATTCGGTTCACAACACCCATCCTCTTTATGTTCCTTTCTGCCCTATATCATAGCCGCTGTTAGTTCAAATCAAGAACTTAATCATGTTTAGAAAAAAACTGGAAGTCACATGTCTCTTTCTGACAGCTCCGTACAGCTGTCCTAATTAGTGTTAAAGTACACTGTAGGTTTTAGAAATCATGTAAACCTAATGATTGATTAGCCGGTTTGATCTTTAAAATAAACATAACAGTATGTTACAGTAATATTGCTCTAATCTGTCAAGTGATTTATCACGTAGCAATCGGTTAAAAGAAATCGATTTTAAATAGTTTTGTGGTGTGATAAAGCAAAATTGGCGGCACTGCTATTATTTTCTGGTGCAAGGTACAGTAGAATACTTTGTGATGAGTATTTTGTCTTTTCTGTCTTTACTTTTAAAAAGGAAGCTGTTTAATCCAGAGCCAAATGCACCTAAATACAGAATATTTCTACAAGTTACACTAGGGGATTTCTGTATCTATATACCTAAGGGAAATGATGTGTCTAGAATCGAGAATAGAGCATTCTGTGCTGTCTCACGAGACTAAAAACCATGTTAGAGCTGGGCAAGTTTTAGCTTTCAAGAATACATACAGTATGAACCTGAACACACCTTCCCCCACAAGAACATACAGTACAAATCATTATATGCATACAATTTTATGATTATTTGCATAGCAATTTGTCTAGATTAAACAACCCGAAATAAATACATTCTATTTAAAAATGTATGTATATCCTGCTGGTTTAGACAAAGGTTTAGCATCTAGTTTTATGTAGTTTTTCTAACAGTTCTATCTACACATCCTTTCAAAATCAAAAGGTGAAGTGCCATATTTTATTTTATAACAGGCATTAACGTTTCTTAGAACTACTTTTAAATATATTTTGGTATCACATTGTGTAATAGTAATACTAATAATTAAAAGATCTTTAAAAAGAAATATTCCGTTAATCTGCTGAACAGAACATACCGGTGATTTAGATAGTCCTCCGCAGAAAATCTACTGTAAGTAATCGTAGTAGGCTATGTGTTTTTATTATATGAATAATACGCTATGAGTGTTTATTATATGTTTATCATATAAATAATAATCCCAATAACGAACTAGTATATATTTTGTATTAAATATCGTGTTTAAACTTCCCGACGTTTTCTTCGGATGTTAGAAACATTATCACGTTGTTTCCAAACATGGTAATGCGGTGCAGTCGTGCTATTCTAAAACTTTTCAGAGAAGCAAGCACATTAGTATTTACACACAGTATGGGAACGTGAGTAGCCGAGGATCGTTTTATTTGGCACTTAAATCATACAGTATGTACTCCAAATTATTGTTTGTAAACTTTGTGGGCTTTAAACATTAGTATTTTTTTAAAGGTAGACCTGTTTTCATATTTCCACTAGACGCTTTAAATTATACATTTATGATAGAAAGAATGTGTTTGTAAATTATTTTATAATGATTTTCTAACTCACTGAGACAGAAAACGTGAAGAAGTATTTTTAAAAAGCGCACTTTATTGGCAATTCATGCCGAGGCGCCACGATATGTATAGCATATCACCCGTAATACAATTCTTCTAGTAGTACAAATAAAAATCTATGATTTAGTTCTGGGTGTGAACGGTCTGTCATGGTAGCGCTAATTATATTAACTGTAATTTGAACACCGCGTATTTGGGTGGTTTCTACATTTTTGCAAGCAGTTCAATAAGAGCGTTCCAATCTAAAAATTATACTCGACTATCCTGCGATAAATAGCTCAAATAGGCACACCCGAAGAAGGCTCCACAGCTGCAACGTTGTTTCTTTTCTTCCCTTTTCAGCACGGGATAAACTTTTACTTGTTCCTATTCTGCGATAATGTGAGGTCCTTCTTTAACCTGAA